TTGCCGAGGCCAACTGCTCCCCCATCGTCACCTCACCTCATCACCACCCGCCTGAACAGTCGCAGCCGAGCACGTCTGCCCGTCTACCATATGACCGAGGGTAGACTGCCAGCCTCCGGCAACGGGTGGAGGCGGTCTGCATACATCTCGTGAAACTGGACAAGAAAACGAGCATAACGCCGGGCCGGAACATGTGTTAGAGCCATCTGCCCCGGTTCCCCGTAGGCCAGGCAGCTAAATACTGTACCGGCCACAGTCAGTCTGGACACTCTAGTTGATGCCCAACTGCCTCAAAACGGCTATTGCTATTGCTAATGATTACTGAATACTGATTAATTTCTCCCTATCTGTATATATGTATATATATGTATATAGGAAGAGAGAGAGAGAGAGAGAGAGAGAGAGAGAGCATAAACCACAAATTCTAAATTATCTAAGAAATAAAAAGAAAATTTGGGTTTCGGGGAATCTCTTGTTTCATAATTGTTGAGCTTACTTCTATTTCGAGTAAAAGTGTTGGGTGAAGAGATTCGATGGTCGGTTCCACCATCAGAAGACGACGGCGGATTCCTCTTGACCAGCTGTCAATTGGCTTTACTGGAACGTTCATGCTGACGCTGTTTCCAAAGTAATCTCCTTCAGTTCTAAGAAAAGGTGCTGATCTTTCGTCCGTCATATGAAGGACATCGTCAGAACAAGGTATCATCGTCACAATAAAATTCAAGCTAACGAGTCAAAAACACTCAGACAAATATCTAAAAAGTGGAATATATACTCTACATCTGGCCTCTTTGGTCAAGTACCAAGTGATTTGGTTAGTCACGGTCATATGTCAACTTCGAAGCCTGTGAGTGTGTCCGTCTCTGTATGCGTATGTGCCTGTTTGTGTTTGCTTAGGCAGGAAACCCGCAGTGATGGCTCGAAGTAGGATATGAAGAGAAACTGCGTTTCAATGAATCTCTTGAGATAACATTGTTAGGCTGACTTTAACTTCGTATGAAAGTACATGAAAAAGAGATTCGTTGGTTGATCTCACCAGATAAGGACGAATGAATCTCGTTTGGCTTTTATACGATATTCATGTTGACGCAGTCCACGGGACTTCCTCCCGCGTTTCGGGTGAAAACGGGCAGAGCTTTAGTCCATCATTCGATGGACATCATCAGACCTGGGTGTCATTCTTGTAAAAGTCTCACGTTTACATTAAAGCAAGAACACTATCCGGCTCTATCTTAGCTCTTTTATAAACTCAATTGAGCCAAATAAAAATTAAAAACCTAGATAGATAGATAAATAGATAGATAGATAGATAGATATATGGATAGATAGATAGATAGATAGATAGATAGGTAGGTAGGTAGGTAGGTAGGTAGGTAGGTAGATAGATAGA